TGTGATTGAAGGCGACATGAGGTACAATGCGCTGCTCGAAAGGCCTTGGATTCATAAAATGAGAGCAGTGCCCTCGACGCTTCACCAAGTCTTGAAATTCCCAACATCAGAAGGAATCACAACGGTGTACGGTGAATAACCCGCCACCAAGGAAATGTTTGCAATCGATGAGGTAATACCAGTATCGGCGCTATCATCAATAAAGAGATCGGAATCGAAGGAAAAACAAGAAGTCAAATAGCAACCACAGTCGCTGGCTTCGGCCCGATCGGAGGAGCAGGAAATTTTCGAGGATGATGATTATATGATACCTCAAACCTTCGTAATCCCCGATGATTCCGATGCAACAAAGTAAACAGTCGAAGAGCTGGAACAAGTCATACTGATCGAGCGTCTGCCCGATCGAAAGGTATACCTAGGCACGGGGTTAACTTTCGAGCTCAGGAAAAAACTCGTTCGATTCCTTTTAAATAACATAGATTGTTTTGTTTGGTCCCACTTAGATATGACAGGGATCCCACCGGAGATCACTACGCATCGACTGAGCTTGGACCCAAAGTTCCGGCCGGTGAAATAAAAAAGAAGACCTTCAGTCCGAGGTAAAACATGCATTCATTAAGGACGAGGTCACAAAACTTCTCAATAGAGGATCCATTCGGGAGGTAAAATATCCCGAGTGGTTAGCAAACGTAGTTGTAGTCCCTAAAAAGGGAAACAAACTGAGAATGTGCGTAGACTATAAGGATTTAAACAATGCATGCCCTAAATATTCCTTTCCTTTGCCGAATATCGATCGCATGATCGATGCCAAGGCCGTCCACGAGATCCTTAGTTTTCTCGATGCCTACTCCGGGTACAATCAAATACAGATGAACCCGGAGGATCAAGAAAAGACTTCGTTCATCACTAAGTACGGCACCTATTGCTATAATGCAATGCCGTTTAGACTAAAAAATGCTGGTGCTACTTATCAACGCCTAGTAAATCGAATGTTCGAAGAACAAATAGGTAAATAAATGGAAGTTTATATTGATGATATGCTAGTTAAGTCCCTGCGAGCAGAGGACCATTAGAAACATTTGCAGGAGACCTTCGACATACTGAGAAAGTATAACATGAAGCTTAACCCGGAGAAATGTGCATTCGGGGTCGGCTCGGGCAAGTTCCTCGTCTTTATGGTATCAAATCAGGGGAACAAAATCAACCCCGATAAAATCAAGGCAATCGAAGACATCACAGTTGTTGACAATGTCAAGGTTGTACAAAGGTTAACAAGATGAATAGCCGCCTTGGGTCGATTTATTTCGAGATCCTCAGATAGGAGCCACTGGTTCTTCTCATTGCTTAAGGAAAAGATCAATTTCGCATGGACCCCGGAGTGTCAACAGGCTTTGGAGGAACTCAAATGATACCTGTCGAGCCCACCATTGCTTCACACCCAAAGGCGGACGAGCAACTTTACTTGTACTTAGCAATCTCAGAGATAGCGGTAAGTGGGGTCTTAGTTCGAGAAGAGCAAGGTACGCAATTTTCTGTCTATTATGTTAGTCGGACCTTAGGTGAAGCCGAGACCCGGTACCCATACTTAGAAAAATTAATGCTTGCTTTAATAAGCGCCTCTAGGAAATTAAAACCATATTTTCAATTTCACCCAATTTGTGTTGTAACCACCTAACCCCTTCGCAATATTTTGCACAAGCACGAACTCTCGGGCTGATTGGCCAAATGGGTCGTCGAGATCAGCGGGTACGATATCGAGTATCAACCCCGAATGGCCATCAAGTCTCAAATATTGGCAGACTTCGTGGCCGACCTCACGCCGCCCTTGTACCTGAGGTTGAAAGGAACTATTGTTGAAATCGGGTACATCATCGAGGGTGTGGACCCTCTTGTGAAGGGGTTCGGGCTAGGCATCATTCTGAAGCCACCCACAGGTAACACGATTAGACAGACTATCAAAACTTCAAAATCAAATAACAATGAGGCCAAGTATGAGGCCATGATTGCAGGTCTCGAGTTAGCTAAGAGCTTGGCAGCGGAGGTCATCGAGACCAAGTGCGACTCCCAACTTGTGGTAAATCAAGTCAACAGAACTTTCAAGATTCGAGAAGATCGAATGCAGAGATACTTGGAGAAATTGCAGGTGTCTCTACATCGATTTAAAGAATGGACCTACAACACGTACCTCGAGAAAAAAATAGCGACGCCGATGCCCTTGCAAATTTGGGGTCATCGATCGAAGATGATGAACTTAGCTAGGGGACTGTCGTACAACTTTCAAGGTCAGTGATCGAAAAAGGACACACCGAGATAAACTCCACAAGTCTAACCTGGGATTGGAGGAATAAATACATCGAATACCTAAAGAACGGGAAGCTTCCATCGGATCATAAAGAATCAAGGACTCTACGCACTAAGGTCGCACGGTTCACTTTGGACGAAGACGGAATACTGTATAGGAGAACGTTCGATGGACCTTTAGCGAAATGTTTGGGACCAGGAGACACCGAGTATGTTCTACGAGAAATTCACGAGGGCACTTACGGAAACGATTCCGGCGCCAAGTCATTGGTTCACAAAGTCATCAGAGCAGGATACTATTGGGTCGATATGGAAAAAGACACTAAAGAATTTGTTTGAAAATGCGACAAATGTCAAAGGTATGCGTCGATGATCCACCAGCCCGGAGAGCAACTCCACTCAGTCCTATCCCCGTGGCCATTCATGAAATGGGGAGTGGAAATTGTCGGCCCCCTACCATCGGCCCTAGGTAAAGCTAAATTCATTTTGTTTATGACTGATTATTTTTCTAAGTGGGTTGAAGCACAGGCCTTCGAGAAAGTCAGAGAAAAAGAAGTCATAGACTTCATCTGGGACCACATTATATGCCGGTTCGGAATGCCTGCCAAGATCGTATGCGAAGATGGAAAGCAATTCGTCGACAGCAAAGTGACAAAGTTATTCGAAGACCACAAAATAAAAAGGATTCGATCAACGCCGTATCATCCCAGTGGGAATGGACGGCCAAATCGACAAACAATACCGTCATCAAAAATCTGAAGAAAAGACTGAACGAAGCCAAAGGAAAGTGGAGAGAAGTACTGCCGAGGTCCTTTGGGCATATCGAACAACGTCAAAATCCAGTACGGGAGAAACGCCATTCTCTTTAGTCTACGGTGCCGAAGCTCTGATCCTGGTTGAAGTCGGAGAACCTAGCTTCAGGTTTCGGTATGCAACGGAGGAGTCAGATCACGAGGCTATGAATACGAGGCTTGAATTGCTAGATGAAAGATGGGAGGCCGAGAAAATTGGGGACTTAGTTCTGAGAAAGGCCATCCTCAATACTCGAGACCCAAATGAAGAGAAACTTGGCCCGAACTGGGAGGTACCATATCAGGTCCTCGAAATCGTCATAAAGGGAACTTACAAACTTGGCACGATGGACGGTGAGAAATTACCAAACAATTGGAACATATCACTCCTCAAACGATATTACTGCTAAGGTACGACCTTCTCTATTTTCATTTGTATTTTATACTAACCAATTCCAAGTGTTCGATCGAAGACATAGAGGAACTCTCCAACACAAAGTCCTTAGGTTTTAAAGCACGCGTTGCACTCTTTTTCCCTCGGACCAGTTTTTGTCCCAAGTGGGTTTTTTCGACGAGGTTTTTACGTGGCAACCGTGCTACCTTGAGGCAATTCAACAGTATCCGAGGCTTCTTTACAATCAACATCGAATATTGGGGTGCATCACCCTTGGGTATTAACTTTGTTATAAGGAAGGTACTTCATGTCAACAGGGTCTCGATAGGTAAAACTTTGTAAGGGCCAAACGGCCGAACGAACCGTGCCCATGTAGATTACTCGAGCCCCAAAGACAAACATGTACGCATGTATAATCTATTGAGAGAAGTATTTTTCCTTGCCAAATATTTTTCATGCCTTAGAAAAAATTTTACTTTACAATTTCTTACTTTTGGTTTGTTGTGGAAACATGCTTAAGGGCCGATCACAACTGAAGTTCGAACAACTTACCCCGTACTCGGGGACTGCCGTCCGAAAAATTGATGTAATCGAAATACTAAAATCTCGATATCATAAGACCTTAAAAAGGTAACCCTCGTTTTTACAGGCCACGGCCACCTCACTCGGGACCGGGAAACAAGCCCAAGAGGTAAATCCCAAATCAAAGGCTACGGCCAAACCAACACGGCTCGGAGACGTCCGAATTCCGTAATAAAATAGGCCTTCAAATATTTTCATAAAATTGGTTTAAAAGGCTACCCTCGGCAAATTTATAAAGGGTTTCGATCACATCAACCCTCGAAAACCTTAAGGGGTACCGAATTGGTCAAACAACCGAACGAGCTTATTTCACGCTAAGGCGTAACGAAACAAAGAGTTTCGATAACACTAACCCTCGAAAACCCTAATGGGTACAAATTTATCACGTGCTAAGGCATAACAAATTTTTACATGATTAACTTTCTAAGCCGAAAAGGGTGAAAATCCATTCTTCTTAAGGCCATATCAGCCTAATTCCAGAGCCTAGGGCCATTTTATTTTTTAGTTCGAGAAGTCAATCTCACTCAACTAAAACCTAAGGGTCATTCTATTTCGAGTTCGAACAAGTACTCACTCGATTACAAAGACTATATTAGTCCGACTTCGACCATATTACCTGAGCCTTGAACTCATGAACAAGGCATGAACGAAACATAATTTTCACAAGGCAGAAATTGAAATAAAGACAAGTCAGAAAGAAAAGAGATCTTTTATACATATGAAAATATTTACAAGGACCGATCAGGGTCCTACACAAAACTTCAAAAAATAAAAATCCTAAGTGCCTAATTTTCCTCGGGAGCTAGGTCCTCGCCATCGGGATCTCCTCTGCTCTCTATCCACTCACACTCCCGGAATCATCATCATCAAAAGAGAGAAACGCTTTGGCTTCAGCCTCAAGTTCTTTCGCATTCTCGATCTCGACAGCAAGGTTAAAGCCACGAGCGTGAATCCTCAAGAGTCTCTCTTCGAGACTGGGCTTTGGCATGCTCGGCAACCCAGTATGCTCGAGCCTGAGCAGCATCGAAAACTTCTTTCACTCGAGTTTGAGCGGCCTCGGCGTCAGATCGGTAGACAGTCGCGATCGCCTCAGCATCGGCCTTAACCGTCTCAGCCTCAGATTTCACCGCTGCAATCTCCGTCTCCAACCGAGCCTGTAGCTCCTCAATCTTCTTGGCTTGTTCCAAGCTCTTCTCTTTCATGCCTTGGAGTTGGATTTTGGCTGAGGATAACTGAGCTCGAGCTGCCTCTTTCTCCGAGGCAAGGTGATCCATCTTTTGCTTCCACATTGAAGTCTCCGCCTTCACCTCATCTACCTCTCCTCGGAGTTGCACAATCGTTTCATGCAGCCGCTGGACCTGTGAGATCGAATCATTAGCCATCACTCCCAAACCGAGGCCATAAGCGTCTAAGACTTTATTTACCTGCTCGGTCAACTCACTTTGTTCTTTCTGGGCCATAGCTAACTCAGCTCGGAGACCTTTGATTTCTTGTTCTTTTTGCTCACCAAGAAGCTTGAGAGCATTTTTCTCCTCGATAAGCCCTCGAATTTCAGCTTCATATCGGCTAAACTCTCTTCGAGACTTGAAGAAAGCCTCATGATGAAGTACCGAGGCCTACACAGATAGAAAGGAAAAAATTAGGCAAAGAGAGAAAAATACAAGTATGGAGACCGACGTCAATAGAAAAGGTTAGGGCTTACCCGATTCAAAGCTTGCTGGGCCTCATTGAAGAGGCATGGTGCTCCCACCTCGTCCATTAGAGCTTGATCCTCCTCGGTGACCAGACCTTGAAGATAACTGGCCACCCCTACGGGGGCGACAAAAACTCGTGCATCCTCCGGGACCTTAATAATGATGGTCTGTTTGCACTCAGGATCGACACAAGAAGTTGGGAACTGGCTGGTCAATCTGAAACTCGAAGAAGTTTCACCCAAGCTCCTCCTCGATATGTCCAATTCATTAAAGCCGGCGACATCATCGACCCCAGCAAAACAACTTTAGAAAAGGTCCATACCTCCGAGGGCACCTTCTACCTGAGGGGCCTTCATAGCCTGAGCCTCCCATACTTCCCCTTCCGAGAATGAAGGAAGTGGCGGGGAGTCCCCAATTTCTATTGCCCCAAGTGAATCACTTGGTAAGTTCTCTTCTTTTCGAGAGGCCTCGGAACTGGCCCCCTCGGACATACCTGCCGACTGCTCATCTCGGCGTGAAGCGTCCTCAGTCTCCAATAACTCCGGGACTTTGCCCGGGTCCTCTTCCGAGATCCTCTCGATTCGGGGCTGGATTTCTCCAACTTTCACCGACTCAGAGGCCTTTGGGGCCTCAGTGCTCCTCTTTACTCGAGCCACCAGCTCGGAGCCGTCGTCTTTGTTTTCTTCTTCTTCATCTCTTAGCCGCTGAACTACCTCCGCAGGCAGGATGGTGGTGTCTTTCTTTGGCTTACGAGCCTTACTTTTTTTGGGCTTTGGGTCCTCGGAGGTCGAGACCCTTTTTGTCTTTTTATTCTTCACCGGTTTCGGGGCCGAGGGCGACACCTCTTCCTCCCCGGACGGGGGCCTCATGACAGCATTTTCTCCGAGGCCTATATGGAAGGAAATCAAGTGAGTATGGAAAGAAACACTTCAGAAAAGATCATCTAATACGTGAAAAGGGGCTTACCATGATTTTTGGCCTCCCATCGACCCCTTGACAAATCTCACCATGAGTGCTCAGCATACGAAGAGGTCGAAGACAATTTATTAACCCAGCTCTTGAGGTTAGGAATTGCGTCGGGCATCTAAGAGACTGCTACATCATAGGAAACAATAAATGGAAACTATAGGTGGGATTATACTTACGCTTCATATTCCATTTCTCGAGAAATGGCATCTCCTCGGCCGGGATTAGGTCGGAAGTCTTCACTCAAATAAACCGACCTATCCATCCTCGATTTTTGTCCTCGTCTATGCTCGAGAACAGCACCTTGGTAGCCCGACGCTGAAGCCTTATTAACCCGCCTCGAAAGAGACGGGGGCTGTACAACCTAATAAGATGGTCGAGGCTGAAAGACATCCCTTCAACTTTGCTCGCGAAGAATTGGAGCAGAATAACAATCCACCAAAAGGAGGGATGGATCTGACCTAGGGTTATTTGGTATTGGCAGAAAAAATCGATGATGATGGGATCGATAGGGCCCAGCGTGAAAGGTTAAGTGTAAACACTCAGAAACCTTTCATATGGTGGTGATGTCTTCTTCGGGGGCGGGATCACCACCCTTTTATCTTCCCAATGGCAGTCTTTCTTCACCTGCTCAAGGTCACCCTCAGTTATCGAGCATATATATCTCGACGTTGGCTTGCATCGACCAGGGACCGATGGAGTTTTCTCGACTTTGAAGTCGGAAGTAAGTTCATACCCCCCCTCCCCCCCCCCCCGGGAACACTCTCCTCAAGGCGTGGCTCCACCAGTGTTTTATCGTCGGCCGACCGCGATGAAGAAGTTTTTTCTTTTGAGGAACGGTCTTTGACATTTTTGCCATTTTTGTATAAGTTTAAAGAAAGAAGAAGAAAGTAAGGCTTGGTATTTTGAGGGAAGGTTGATAACGAAACCTGGAGATTTTGAAGAAATAAAGAGCTTAAGAGATGTAAAAAGTTTAAGAGAATAGAAGGAAGTGAAAGCAAAGTTTGAATCGAGAGAGAAGGGGCCTATTTAAGCTATTCACAGCGACGGTTCAAAGGCACTGGTGGCTGATCATCAACTGACGCTCATTAATGACTTTGGGAACTGTACCGACGGGACGTTTCAATCACTTCCGCCGATTACGTCACGAGGATGACGTCATGACAGACTGGAGTATAAAATCCAAGGCTCAAATTCGTTTTTTCTCATTACATTCCAAGAAACGAGGGGGCTATATGTAAACAGTTAAAATCGAGCCTATCCGATTTTATTATTTGATCGAGACCAGGGAGTTGCATCGAGGGTTAGCCTCGTAGTGGAATAGATCAAAGTGACAAAGACAAGGTACCGAGTTCGAGAATCAAAGTGCCTACCGAGATCGAGGCCGGCAGCGATCGAGACCATACAAGGCAGGCTCCGAGCAAAGCCCAATAACAGGAAAGCGAGATATACGTGACTGATCGAAGATCATGGCGGGAATCTCGGAACGTATCAAATCAAAGGCGGTTGTTTAGGCTAATCATAGGATTTACTTCTGTTATTTGAATTGTACCATGGATAGGATTCCTCTACTATATAAAGAGGGTCCTAATCATTTTGTAAGCACCTGACACTCCGAGATATCAAAGCAATATAACGCCTTTTCTATAGTTCATATTCTTGTTCATCAGCTTGTTACGTTTTAACTGTTCTTGCACAAACTAGTTCGAGAGTATTCAAGCTCGAGGGCTGAATTCTGTTCAAACACTGGTTTGCTTTATATTATTGTTAATTCCTATTATTACTCTTTGCATTTATCAATTGGTATTAGGTGAAATCACGTGTCCTTAAAACCACATTATAAGTTTAATTGTTATCCAATTTTAAGGGTAAACAGTTAGCTTTATACTTGCTAGGGAGTTTTTAAACTTCCTTCTCATTTTCATTTGGATAACTGGGAGGTGTGTGTTAGTGTAATCCTGATAAACAAAGTAATTAATTAAGTGGGTAGTTCCTTTTTTTTTTTTCCCCTTAACAAAATTAAAGCGTGTACCTCTGAGTCTGAATTATTCCTTACACTAGCTGGCTGAGTGATTTACCTACCTGGCAGCTTTTTGCCATTGACTGCCTTCCTCTTATATAATCGTATCTTTTGTCTATCCCAAAGATTTTGCCTGCAATATTTCTTCTTTACCTTTTCTCTTTTTCTCTTATTTCTTTTGCTTGACAATGCAACCGTGACTTTTTTTTTAGCAGAAAGAACTTTCGCACAGTTATTAAAGAGCTATTTTTTGGGATTGTGCGGTTGCGGACCTAGGATTTGAAGGTTAGGGTGCAATTTTAATTGTATATAGGGTTCCACTATTAATATATCACTATTTTCTAAAGATATGTATATATTAAATTTTTGCTGAACTTTGCCGGTGACCCCTCTCAATATAGGGGAGGTCCGCCTATCTGTGTGTAGAAGGCCTAGATGTCCTAATATGTAATGATACAGTACAGAAGTTAATGTGTTATAATTCAAACTAGTACGTTCAATAGTTTGATAATAATTGTTGTTCTGTAGTAATTTGTTGAGTACACCAACTATGGAGCAATATTAATTAAAGAAATGAGATATAAAGAATTTGAAGTGAAAATGGACGGTCTATTTGCTTTCAAGTTTATCAAAGAAGATATCATATATAATGTCACCCTCTATTATTGAATATTGCAAATATATACTTGTCAATAAGACGACTATTATACATATATGGAGAAAGACAAACAAATGTACAGACTTTCTAGCTAATAACGGTTGTAGACATAAAAAGATTTGCTAGTATAGAACGTACAATATATCTATATCTATACTATATTAAAAGCACGAAAGCTTTGCAAATACCGTTCGCTTTTTTTACCTTTCAAAAATAGAGTTCACATTGGACAAAATTAAAAATAGAGTTCAAACTAGACAAAATAGTCAATTGATATTTTTTTCTAAAAATTAGGATTTTGAAATCAACTAAAATTTTTATTATTATTTTTCCTTATATAAACAATGTAAAAGGTCATAATATGTAGCACTTTAAAAAACCAAATTTTAGCACTTATATAAGAGTACACGCATATACATTTTTAAGGGAAATTCCTAACAAAGCATTAAAATATTTAAACTTTTTTGGGAACTTTTACATGCGTGACAAACAAAAACACACTTTATAAATTTGGTATATATCACCGGAAAAAAAAATGTGCAAGCATATATTTTAAATTAATTAGAAGCTCAAATTATAATTTTCTATTTAAGAGTTGTCTATTAATTAATTAGAGGCTCAAATTACATGTCTAAGCATGGGTTGGCACCCAACACTAGATCCTTCATTACGATTTAGCAGCTAAATAATACCCTAACAATGTAAATTATTTAACTTAGTTGAGTACACCAACAATATAAATAATGTTTAAGCAAATTTTAACTTGTATCACAATGATTTATTTTACATCATTTTATTTCTTTCTAGGAATAAATTTTGTTGGATTTAAATATTACTCTAATCTAATAAAATTCTTAGTATGATAATTATGTCCATCAATATGGAGTGTCTTCTTGTTTGTCGTATTTTTCAATTTGAGTTCAATATGAATAACATGAAATTTATATTAGATACTTTGAGCAAGTAGAATTTATTTTTTTAACGCTATGAGAACATAGTATAGTTGCATGATATTTGAATACTAGTCAATGTATAATTCAACTTTTTTTGAGCTATTAAAGCAAATGCACAACTTTTATATCGAAGTTATGTAAAGGTGTTAGAATACTTTTGCATGACATATTCTTTTTCTTAATTAAGTTCGCTAAATAGGATGAATAGTCAATATTTTTCAAGAGCTTGTACTTTTTAAAATTTTTATTTTATAGCTCATCACATAGTTTAATAATATTTGAATAATTTTTTCTAAATTATATTTTCATTGATATGGAGAATACGCGCATACTCTAAAGCTAGTAGTCTTATAAACACCTTTACTTGCTCGATTTTGATATCCCGGTCCCTATACTTAATAATATTTCATTTAGACACTTTTACTTACCTAAAGGTAATATTTTAAATGCCTCTCGCCATTGTTCAAATGTAAGAGTATTTTTCTCAAAAGTACTTCTCAAAAAAATATTTTTGGAAAGAAACTACCTTTTTCTTCTTCTCCAAAACTGTCTCTGCTTCTACTCAAAAGTACCCTTTTTTTTCTTCTAAAAGGTTAGCCAAACACTTTAACTTTAAAAAAAAATATTTTATTAAAATAATATATGTTTCAGCTTAGAAAAACTTGGCCAAACAGGCCACAAATCGCATAGCTTGTCTGAATAAGCAGGCTGCAAAGCCAATTGGTTAAAACTTAAAAGGAGCATGTGAAGGGTAATTAAGGAATTAAAAAGAGAAGGAGAGGTTTAATTGGGGGAACGTGGGCGGCAAACTGGTAAAAAATTTAAAGTTGACAAAGCCCAAGAACGTGACCGTTGGTTCCCCAATTAGCAATGGCATGGAACTGCGAGGGGGAGTGGGGTCAATCAGAAGATCGCGGTCGGGACCAGAAATCAAAAAGATTTTGGTGTTGGGTCACATCTCTTTTGGGGCCCACATGTACTAATCTGCAAAATATAATTACCCGCATTTAGCTTAATTCACCACGAGTCTTTGATTAGCATGCCAGTTAAGAAAGTTTTGTAATATAAAAAGTATTTATAAGATATATACGAAATGAATGTTATGAGGTGAATATAATGTAGTAGTTGTCATAATGTGAATAATAAAAGAAAGAATTACTGCCCTTGTCACTTGGCCTAACAACCCAACCGAAAATGACTCGGATTTGAAGCTCTTACCCTATTTAGCCAATCTTGTACATAACTTGAAAGAAACTTTTCAGCCTTTAACCCATTATTAAAGACACACTTTTAGGGTTTTTATTATTTTCTTCTTTCTTCATTCCAGCACACCAAATTCTCTTTCACCGCCTCTCGCTTCTTTCTTTCCAACCCACATAGATCCATCATCCTCTCTTAACTTAGCCCCCGCTATTCCCCCTCCCCTAGGATCGCGGCCGATTCTGCTCACCCCTCGGTCCCACCTGCCGTTGCTTCAGCATCAATTCCTTCTTTATCTGCGGATACTTTTGCACCGGAATCTTCGGCTTCCCTTTTGTACCGTCTTGTAGATGAAGATGAGGAATCGTTACCAGGTGATGGAGACCTGGTGCCCCGTAAGAGGAGATTGGTGGATGTTGGCGTTGGAGTTGCCCGGGCCGTGGACTCTGTGATGGATGATTTTACCCTTCGTGAGACGACGACCATTGTCCTTGAAGACGATGTTGAGCTGGCGTCTGAGATTCCGAGGTCGGCGGAGGCCGACAAAGACGCGTCTCTCCATTCTGCGATGGCGGAGACCGAAGGGCCGGCTGCTAAGGCTTCTGATTCTTTGTGGCAAGAGGGGCTTGTGGAGGACGCTGGTTTGCGTGTCAGTTAGCCATGCCTCGAGGAGCTTTTTTACAACTGGGGGCGTCTCCTCCGCCACAGATGTGAAGGCTCCCTTACCAAGAGATTTTGTGATGCTGTAGTGAGGAGGAGGTGGCCCGTCTCGCCTAGGGGAGGCACTGGGCGTTGTGTCTTCGTCTGCTGTTTCACAGCTTTCATTGATGATGTTCGTGAGGTTGGTTGGGAGGTCGCTTATTATTCTCGTCATCTCTTCTCTGTTACCTGCCATATTGGGATTTATGCACACCAAGAAAGGAGATCTTGTTCTTGTTTTTTTTTTTTACGTTAGTGTTCTGTGTTAGTTATAGATCTAGAGGAAACTAAAAATTTAACTAGAAAATCCCCACAGACAGTGCCAAATTGTTTGACCAAAAAGTATAATCCTTGGTTCAAATAATTGAATTTATGTGACAAGGGGTTAACCTAGTTAACAGTAATATTTCTAGATGCGAATTTCGAAAACATGATCAATGTTGGACAGATGTGGTAGAGATATAATACTGGAATGCAATAATTATTCCAAATACTCCGAGCAATAATAAAGCATTTAATAACAACGAATAACAATAAATGACATTTGAGTAAATAGAAGGAGTGATTCACCTTATAAATGATGAACTAGGTGGTTGTCCCTCCTGACAATGATGAGTGACAAACAAATCCTTGAATGTTCAAATGATTCTCGGATTTGATGGAAAGTAGGGAATAATTCGGAGAAGAATCTTAGATGAAATGATCCTGCTTGTTTCTTAGTAAGAAAGAGAATATTTAGCCAAAAATTTATTCTTACAGATGAATCTCCCGTGCCCCACATCATTGGCCCCTCTTTTTATATATATATATGAGACATATTTCTAATAAACCCTAATAGTACAAATGCAGAGAATATTCACTAGAAGATTCCAATTAATAATATATTTCGAAAACTAGCCGTTACAACTTCATCAGCGATGTTCGACCCCGACCATTATCGACATCTCGACCACGGCTCCCGTCGACTCTTCGGCTACGAGTATTTCTGCTTCCTGGCCCACCTCGACTGTTGACGACTCGAGAATTCTTCCTTTAGAGTAATCTTATTTCGATTATTATCCGGCAGATTTCGGCCCATACAAAAATTACATACTTTAAAGTTATTTTGTCTTAAAATACTTATCTAATGTCGCAATTTAAATTAAATTGCTATTTGGAATTTATCTTTGTTATATCATCAACCAAATATTGCATTGCGCGAATTTTATATATATATATATATATATATATATATATATATATATATATATATATATATA